ACTAAATTATCTCGATTATTTACTATTCAATCTAAAAAAATGCTATCACTAGCAAAAAATACTAATAATGTTACTCTCACCAATCCACTTTCTTTTAATCTGCCAACTCTTAATAATATTATTCAAAAACTAAGTGTCTCAAATATTGAACGCACATTCAACTCCTCTACTATTCTTAAGAATATTGGCACTTTTTGTATTAAAGCCTGGCTTACCAAAGTCTGGTCCCTAGGCTTACTATTAATCTATTAAATAAACACTATCACAAAATACACAACTTTACTTTAATATTTCACCTTTCACAACTAGCCAAACATACACAGGTAGAACTATAAAAATTTTCTAAATCTATATCTTCTATAAACATTATCATTATTATCTGAAATCAATACTAAGGCTCTCTATCTATTTAAATGTTATCTGATGAATCTAGTATAAATATTCTGATAATATTATATTTATAGCTTAAATTTGCAAAAAAACTAAAATTTAACATCTTTTTCCATTTTAAAAATAATATTACATTTATATAATATGGTTTATTATAAGGCATAATTATTATTGCTAACTAATTTTTAACAAATATATTAAATACTGAATTTATTTATTTATCTTAGCTTTTTTAATAAATGGCCAACCTCCTTATTCATACTAACTCTGCAGGTTATTTTTTATTTTCTTATTTATTTTGATTTAAATAATAAGTATATCAATAAATTATTGATTAGAATAATTTAGAATAAAGTATTATTTCTCCTTATTTATAATAATTTTATTCAAATAGATTTAGAGTTTTTTAAACACCTAAATTAAGCTGATTAACTAATAAAAAGATAATCTAGACATCTTTTTTTGTAATCAAGTTATGCTGATTAGCCAAATTTAATACAGTATTTAAATTTTATATTATAGATTTTTAATAAAATTACTATAAATATTATATCAATTAATCATATATAGCAATAGTAGTATTGGTAGATGAAACTATTTTTGGCAAATAGCAAAAGATAAAACTAAATTGGTGAAAGATAAAACCTGGTAAAACTCTGACAAAATGGCAAAACTCTGACAAAACTGCAAAACTCTAACAAAACTCTAGCGAAACCTCTGATAAATTGAAACCTCTGAGAAAGTCAAAATTTAGCAAAGATCAAGTCTTCTAAAACTTTAGAAAAGGCTGAGCCATGTTAGTATATCAAATATTTTGCATGTGGATATTAAGCACAGCATGTGACTTATTTAAAAATATACAAAATCAATAAACAAAGTAATAACCTTTTTTTTTAATATTAAGGTGACTATTTTGAGGTCTAACACATTTTATTAAACTTTGGATCAAATGCCAGAGTAGCTACAGGTCCACACCTGACTTTTTTACATTAACGAGGATATATTCTAGCTATATCTGTGGCTTTAAGTGTCTAATTAAGTAGTTCTCTATTACTAAATATTATATTAGATACCATACCTATAACCTACTATTACTTGAGTTACCCAATTAAACCCTCTGATTAACTTAGTGCCATCGAATATTCTCTCCAAAGAGGAACTGCTGCTGAGGCCCTTTAGGACTACTTTATCCTCATGGTAAACCTACTAAAGTGGTCCATGTTCTATATATCACAAGATTTTTGGTAATTTACATCTAGGCTATTGCCAAATACTTGCAGCTTTTTATTTCTGCTACTGTTAACTACTCTGTGCCTTTACAAAGTTTATCCAAACCCCAGTACCTACTTTACAAACTATTAACAGTACTTAACCAACTAACAGTGCCTTAAACTTCCAATTGAGAGGGACTAGTAAGCATTCTCTGGTATTCCAAATGAATCCTTTTTCCTCTGGCTAGTCTGATGGCATGGTTGATGTAGTGCTTGCCAAACACTTAGTCTTTGTTTAGTTTACTGCTAGTGTTTGGTTCTTTAGATGATAATCCTTTATGTAGTACTATTAAATATCTGTGCTACCTCTCTACTTAGGACTTGCCAAGCAGGCTTCTATGTGCCGTAAGCCCAAGCCCTGAATTTATATGATTACATAACTCATACATTACACAGCCTTCAATAACAAGCTGATACAACTAAAGTTAAAGTGCTACGTACTACCACTCAGAATGTCACACAATATACTATAATGCATTCTATTAATTCTAAATTTTATTGCCAGTGGGATTCGAACTTTTGTTCTGCTGCTTGGAGGTGTGACAACTTATCAACTTCACTAAGTTGCCACACCCTTTGTGATAACCTTTTGTTTGTATTCAATACTATTAAAGAAAATTAGATTTCTTACTTTTAAAACTTAAAAGTAAATAAATTCAGTTTTTTTAATAGTGCTTATCTAATAATTAATATTATTTATATAAAATAAACCTATCTAAATATTTAAATAAATTATTATTAGAGTACTAAGATTTTTTCTTTTTAATATTTAATTGTTAAAAACTTTAATTAAATACTGTACATATATAAGTAGTTTATTAATACTATTATTGCTGACAAATATTTCTTGATGCTTTATGTTATCTTGTTCTAAATCTTAGGACTAACTTTAAGAAAATAATCATTGTTATTAATTTATAATATATAAAATATAGTAAAATTTAGATTATTGATTAAAAAGCATCATATATGACAGCATAATTACCATAAAAGTGCATATACAAGACCCAAGTCTGGTATATTTCACCAATTTTAAACCCATTAATAGATCCGGGGTCTGTTGTATAGACATTAGTCTGATAATCAGGTGAGGCTTTTATGTGGGGAAGTCAAAAACTTATTGACTTTATATAATATATATGATGTTCTAATATCATACCAGGTCTTCTAATCATTGTTTTCTATAATATACCTGGGTTTATTTCATATTACCAAAATTTTTACCAGGCTATAGTCCCAGGTCTGATATAAAAATTATTTATAAAATTACTAATTATTAAAAATTTTTTATTATAAAAAATCTATATATTGTAATAAATATAATATAAATAATATATATTATATATATATATAGAAATAAAAAATATTATTATATAGAAAAAATTTAATTATCTTTATTTATCTTTTTATTCTTACTTTTTTTATTAATTTTACCTTTTTTAGTTTCGCCACAGTTTCGCGGAGTTTCGCCAGTTTCGCCATTTTAATTTTTCTTTGGCGAAAGTCGAAACTAGGTTTCGCCACAGACGAAAGGCGAAACCTCCAAGTTTCGCCTGCCAACACTAAGCGATAGTGCTTGTGCATGACTCAATCACCAATGAATCACATTGAAGTAGATGCTTGATGACACCCTACCCCTTAACTTATATATTATTCTGATTAAACAATGACATACATATTATAAAACGTAACAACGCTAAATTATTTTTAATAAGTAACGATAAATTAAAATGGGTTGCGATGGGATAGACGCATTTTTATTATAGATCGAAGTGCTAATAATTTTTTAGGAAGGTTCAATATAAAATTTTTAGACACCAATAATACAGTAATAAATTTGGACGTTCCTTTTTCATGTAACTTCATGGAGACTGTAGTGGAACTTTTAAACATCCAGTATAACAGCCTTTTTTTTTTTATAGAATCGACAAAATGCATTTTATTTTTACATTTAATGATTTACAAAATGATGAATCAAAACAAATTAGTAAGTTTTTAAATATATAAAAGATTATCAGCAAATATTGAATTTTATTATGTCAAAATTCAACTTATTCAGTTGTGGATATATCAATATCCATAATAACACAAATATCGTATAAAGTTTTGTAAATACATTCAAGAATAAATCTCGCTAAAGTACTAGGGCTACGTAATTCATAACTCCATTGTGCATCCTTCAAACATTGTAAATATATTTCTCTAGTTTTTTGTCCGGTGTACAATGAAAGCGGTACTATAGTGTATCTTGACAAAAGATAACTAAACAACAGTCTTGCGACACGACCATTACCGTTACTGAATGGATGAATAAATAAAAATTGAGAAAGAAAACAAGCTCCATATTTAACTGCATCCTCCAAACTCAACTCGTCCTTAAATTTTTCTCTACATTGACTAAGCAACTCTTCAAGCTTATCGTTTATCAAAATCGGATCCATATACATAAAATCTTCTTGATGTGGTTTCACGTAAATCGTTCTATATTCTCCAGCATCCTCAATTATTTCCTTCCCAATATCTTTATGTAAACGTTTTACTAATTCTTGTGTAAATTCATCTAAAGGCAAGTCTGGGAAAAATACCGTTGGAAAAATTTCGCTTATGACCTTCTTAAGATTTTTCACCTTTTTCATCAGTTGGAGATATCTACCAAACTTGTTGAACCTGGTAATAAATACGTACAAAAAATACCCGCAACTTTCTGATAATTTTTGTAGTTCATCGTATTTAATATCAATTTCGGTTGAAATACACTCAAGTAAATACTTTTCACGATGATAGTTCATATATCCGATCCATAAATTCTTGTCGTCTTTTTCCATTTCAGATAAAATTTGTTTTTTAAACAATTCTATCTTGTTGATAACATATTCATTGTTATTCTCTTCTAAATGTGATTTCCACCAAACTTCTGAAGAGATTTCAAAATCTGAATGAATAAACATTGTCTTAAACAGATAGATTTTTAAATTACTATCTCGATCTGGGCAGAGTGCTGCAACCCGTGATTTATGTTTTGAACACGAAAAGATCTACATCTTGCATCCAACCAAATTTAGGGGACCCTTAAAGCCGGGTTGAAAAGTTACGTTTTTGATGTATTTAGAGCTACCTTTTTGATATAGTTAGGGTTAGGAATACAATTTATGTAGTATATAGATAAAAATTAGTGTTATTTTAGGTTAGAAAGGGTGAAGGTTATAGTAAAATTTTGCAAGGAATGTTTTTTATTATGACATCAAAGGCGGTTTTTTAGGCAAAATTTCAGGTTATTAACGATCTTTTAAAAAATCCTGACAAATTTAACGTTACCTGATCTTGTGAAAACAACTTTAATATGCGTAATATTTTTAAGTACCAAAACTTCATGTTAGGGTTAGGATAGGGATTACAATATGACATGTTCTATACCAAAATTTCACAAGGAATATTTTTTATTAGAGCACAGAAATGGTTTCATTGTCAAAATTTCGAGTTTAGTGATTTTCACGTTACACCTGATCTAGTGATCTTATCGGCGACGATCATTCAAAAAAATCTGATTAGTGCATTTTTGTCGATCTTTCATGGTCTTATTGGGGTAGCTATTACAACCCGCCTAGTATTAATAGTATTTATTTCCTGGGGGAGTAGAAATCTTAGCAGAGGGTTACCGATGATCATAGCACGTGGGATGGCCCGAAGGGCCATCCACGTGATATGGTCATCGATAACCCTCTGCTATACACTGGCAATCATAAGTAGTGCAACAAAAAAAACATTTTACTTAGATCGCATTATTTCCCGCAATTCTGGGTGTATCCTTTTATTTTTTTTTATTTTACTCATAAATGGTACCTTTTTTCGATATTAAAATTTTATATTCATTATTATTGCCAATGTAAAAATAAGTGAGCATGTAGCACAAATCACGTGTTGCATTACTTTTGATTGTTTTTTACAACAATCAAATGATGGCTATTAAACAACGAAGAATCAGGTGACTAGAAAATCTATTCTCATTTTTGCATTCTCATGTTACAATAGAACTTAAATAACATTCTAGCAAAAAAATATGTATGATTTATAACTTAAAAGAGCCTCAGTTTCTTTGTTGTTGCAAAACCTATGTACCATAAAAGTAGTAAGTTAGATATGCAATTTTAGTTTCTTCCTGGCTCTTTATACCAATAAAAGTGGTGAAGCTATAGTGTTTGCAAAAAATTAGTGAAGGTTTGTCATTTACCTGTTAGTAGTAAGCCAACCCAAGTGACGATTTTAAATTGAGCAATCTACCTTCACCATTTGATTGCCATTAAAGTATAGTTTTATCAAAAAAATTAAAAAGTATCAATAATTTAGATTTTTTTTATATATAAAAATTATGGTTTGGTACTAGAGGTTAAGTAAAAAAAGCTTTATCTGTATAAATATTGACAAAAATGTTGGTTTGAATTCGTAAAAATCAGTTTACCAACTACTGGTTTAGGCAATTTCATCTAACAAGCTAAAATTCAAAATTTTTGGATTGGATAATAAATAATATTATAGAAACAACTCAAAATTCATTAATTTATTTTTAATTTTAAAGTTTTGGAACAAGTTTGTAAAGATATAATTCTATATTAAGTTTTGCAGCTTTAATAGCCTTTGCAAAGTCAATTACTTGATGAATATTAAATTATACTAATATATTTGTCATTAATATTTTATACATCCAAAATTGCAGAAAATAATATGATCCAAATAAAATTTTTTTTGTTGTACTATCTATGATCACCAGTATAATTTTTCCCAGGAAATATATATATAATCTTTACACTAGTTATTATTAGACTGCTATACTATTATTTTTACATGTAATTCTATAATTGTACTTTATCATTTTTAGCTTTACTTTACATTTTTCTTTATTTTATCTGTCATTTTTGTCTTTTTCTTTTTGTATATTATAATTTATTATGTAATAAACAATATTTATTTACTTTAGTTTTTTTTATAAAGTGTGAAAACTTAAAAAAGAAACAAATATAAATATATGAGAGATTCCTGATGATTAATATGAAGACCAGGAATCTTTCGTGAGAAAATTCACAATTACAATATATTTATTATAAATACAGTTAGACCTCTCTAAATGCACATTGTCAGAACCAGCTTTAGAGTGTGCATTTAGAAAGAGTTGCAATTAAAGAACACTAATAAAATTATTATATAATTATTATCATGTAATAAATATGACTTTAATAGCTAAAAATAATGGCTTTGATTGGTTAATAATCATGTGGATGTATTTATAGAGTGAGTTTTATAAGTGGGCCAAACAATTAGCATGCACTTACAGAATAAAAAATATGCATTTATCTTTAAGTCTTACCATAGGCCTGGGTTTATATTATGCATTTAGTAGGATGCTGCATTTAGGAAGAGTGTATTTAGAGAGGTCTAACTGTATAGTTATTTATGTATAAAAAATTATACTGAAGGTAGTTATAAGTGATACTTAGTGCAACAGAAGATTACCACCCAAATAAAATTCTAGCTATAGTAAAAAAAATAACTGGTCACATGTTGTAAATCATTTGTTGACAGAAAACTAGTTTTATCCAAAATTATATACTATGATAGTAAAGATTATTTTTATTAAATATATCTAAATTATATACTATAATTAGTTAATAAATATTAATTTTATTTATTAAAAAGCTACAGCTAATTTTTTTATATTTAAAACTTAAAAGTTTAATTTACATGATATTTAATATTAGAAAATTACTACAAATCACCACTGGTGATCATCACCGGTGATTTATGATATATATTTTAGGTGTAATGTGTAAACTTTTTAAACAAAAGTTTATTTGTTTTGATATTAGGGTAAGGTTAATAGTTTGATAATAAAGTTAAACAAAATCTATAGTAAAATTTTGCAAGGTATTTTTTTTGTTAGAGCCCGAAAGATGGTTTCATAGTTAAAATTTTAAGATACGATTGATTTTTGAAAAAATTCTTTGTTTTTGTTACACAAAACTGAGCTGCACGTTACACCTAATCTTGCAAATTGATTGGCTAATTATGCACCGGTGATGATCACTAGTGGTGATAAATAGCAAACTTCTTAATATTAATATTATAACCAAAGTTTAGTGTAACAGTTTTTTAAGAGTTATTTTAAAATTGTTTTAAAATTTATTTGTTTAGATATATTATTATCTTTAAATTATTTTTTTTCCTTCAGCCATCTTGTTTATTTTATTATGGAAACAGACTTTTATTCTTATAAATAAAAAAATCTAAATCTATAGTGTTTTGACCAAAAAACAAACTCACTCACAGCTTTACCTTGCAAGTACTATAATATCCACTTGCAGTCAAAGCAAACTATTAAACTGCTGTATTTTGCCCAAATGCGACCTGCCTAGCAAATAATTGGCCTTCTTCAAAGATCTGAAACTTACTTCGAATTTATTTCACCTGGATTCATCAACTGGCTGTTGCATCACTCCATCAAGATTTCCATCCTACAATAGAATGTCACCAACCTGATGATACTTTCTCATAAGAAAGAAAAAAAGAAAAAAAAATGGATAGTGAAAAATAAAAAAAAGTAGTAAAAAATAAAACTAATACATTAAAGAAAATAGATACTAATATTAAAGAATATAAAAACTAAACTAAAACCTAAAAAAAACTATTGCTAGAAAGAAGAAAACCTACTAACCAGATAAAAACTTAAACTATTAAATTAATGAATTACTATTAAGTGCAAGAGTCTTGACTACACTATAACTTGTACCAAAGTTTAAAAATTATATACTAGATACTAAGCAAATTAGTCTTTATTTGGGGGTGAGTCAGTAGAAATGCACCAAATTTTTTTTAAGTAAATTTTTTTAAATCTTTGAACAAAAATAATTTAGCAATAACTTAAGCAAATTTAATAAATTTTTTTTAAATTAATTCTAAAAACTTGTAGAATTTATTTTTAAAACATTGTATTAAATTTACATCACAAAGTATAACTAAATACTTGCCAAATGCTTACTAAGTACTTATTAAATACTTATTATAATTACTTATTAAACTAATTTCAATGCAGCTTATATTTAGTAAATATTTAAACTAAATATTTAGTAAGT